GATTAAAACCCCTGACCTGCCTGTTTTATAGAAGAGAGGGATTTGAATTTGGTTCTTCTGCATATCATCAGCTGGATGATTTGGGACAGAAGTCTTAATTTCATGGGCCTTGAATTCCTCTTCTTTGTTGTTTTATTTTTTTATTTTTAAGATTTTATTTATTTATTTGACACAGAGAGAGAGAGCACAAGCAAGGGGAGGGGCAGAGGGAGGAGGGAGCCCAACATGGGACTTGATCCCAGGACCCTGGGACCATGACCTGAGCTGAAGGCAGACGCTTACTGACTGAGCCACCCAGGTGCCCCGAATTCCTCTTCTTTAAATTGGGGATTAATAACAGTGCATTCCTTGTAGGATTTTTGTGATGATTACCTAATACAAGAAAAATGTTCAGCTCAGTACCTGGCACATAGTGAGTCCTCAGTAAGTGTGAAGAATTGTTTTCACAGGACTGTGAGGAGGGCCAGATGAAACTGTATTTGAAAGCTCTTTGAAAATTCTATATTGATATTCATTACTATTGATCTCTTCCACCCAAGCTTCTCAAACTGGGGTGGTTGGGACAAGGCTGCAAGTCTCTGAGCTGGGTTCCAGACTCAGGCCTGCTGGCTGTGAAGCAGAGGTCTTGGGGGGAAAGAGGGAAAGCCACAGGCTGTGGGACCACCGTGGGCTCTCCTGGCCAGAGCTGAACGTGTGTGCATGCCTGCTTGTGGGCACACACGCGTGGGCAGGCGTGTGTGTGCAGCTGGGAGGGAAGGACCTTTCCTGTTTTTGTGTGTGCTGACCGCCACATTGTGCAGAGGCACCAGAGGAAGGCATGGGGGCTGAGGCCTCAGCCTTGGGGTGGAGGGGTCCATTCAATATCTCCTTCCCTGCCCCAGCTTGACTGGACTCAGATGCCCTGGAGACTGAGGCCCTACTGGGCAGATCATGGAGCCGGGAGGCTCTGAGCCGGGCCCTTGGAGGGATGAGATCATCGCACAGGATGGTGAGGACACCTGTGCTGGCCTTGGCCACACGCAGTGATGTAACCAGGGGCTTTAGCTCACAGTGGAAACATGGGGCTCGCTTTACAGTGAGGGCTGCCCAGAGTTTGTTCCCGGCCGACTCAGCTTCAGCCTCGCCTCCTTTGCTCCCTGCTCCTGGACGCCGTCCCCCGGCATGCCCTTCGCTCTCCACCCCCACACGCTACTGGTACGGTTCCTACGTCAGGCGTGCTGTCCCCATCTGTCTCCTGCTTGTTTGTTCACTCACTTCCTTACTCACTCCTTTACTCACTCATCCATCAGGGTTTTATTAAGTAACTGCTATGTGCCAGGCACTGTCTCAGGTGCTGGGGATACAGCAGTAGAGAAGATAGAACTCCTGCGCACATGGGGCGTGGGTCTAGGAGAAGAGACGGACAGGGACATAGTGCACTGCAGTGGCATGACTTGTGCCGTGAAGGGGAGGTGCAGGCACCAAACTTTACGTTTTCTGAAATTCCGCCCACCCTTCACGGCCAGTTCAAATGCTGCTCCCACCATAAAGCCTTTGCTGATATCCTAGCCACAAGTGCTTGCTCCTTTCTTGGCACCCTGAGCACTTAGTGTATTCATCTAGAAATATTTCCTGAGCGTTGGTTCCAGACCAGGCACTATTCTAGGAACTAGGGACACAGCAGTGCATAACACAGATAAGTCACGAACCGATGTCCCACTGGGGGTTGGAGAGGATGCACATCGTCTAACAAACTCCTCAGTGTATCACATGTCAGATGGCAAAGCGTTCTATACACCAAACACAGTGAGAAGAATAGAGGCGTGGGGAGGGAGGTTCTGTTTAGTACGGGGAGGGAGAGAAGGCCCCCCTGAGGAGGTAACGTGAGGACAGAAAGTGAGGGAGTCGAGGTGGGTCGCTCGCACGGTGTGTTAGGGGCGAGCCAGTCGGACCCTGTGGCTGGGGGGGGCAGCGAGCAAGGCCAAGAGTGTTGGGAGATGAGGCAGGGGGGTGGGGGGCCCAGATCCGGAGGGCCTGCATGAAATGGGGCCTCCTGGGTGTTTGGAGCAGAGGAGTGCCACGACCTGACTTGACTTGAAAAGGCTCACTCTGGCTGCTATGTGGACAGTGGGCTGAATAGAAGCCAGATTGGGAGTAGTGAGGTCACCGGGGAGGTTATAATAGAAATTGAGGCATGAGGTGATGGTGGGGACCGGTTGGTGGTGGGGAATGGCAAGAAGAGATCAGGTTCTGGATATATTCTGAAGGGAGGGCCCACGGGATTGTCTGATGGCGTGGACATGAGAAAAGGAAAGGAATAAAAGAATGCCTCCAGATTTGGGGCCCGAACCAACTTAGAAGGATAAAGTTGCCATGGACCCGAGCTATGTGGGAACTGTCCTGGAGAGGGGCATGAGGAGCTGGGCCTGGGGCATGGTAAGTCCGAGACCTATTAGATCTTCCCATGGAGGTGTCAGACACACAGTCAAAATTAGGAACCAGGAGTCCAGGGGGGAGGTGTGGGCTGGACGTACAAATGTGGGAGTCGTGAGCATATAGATCTTTAACGGCCAGAGGGCAGCATTAGGGCCTCAGGTTCTATGGATAGAAAGTGGCGAGTGGTTCTGAGGCCTGAGCCCTGGGGCACCTCATACTCACAGGCCCCGGTGGTGAGGGGGACAGATGAAGGAAATTAGAAAGAGTGGCCCGAGATTCAGGAAGAGCACTTGAAGGCGTGAGGAGAAGTTCTCAGGAAGCGGGGTCAACGCCGACAGATTGAGTAGATGAGGCGTAAGAATTGCCAGTAGATTTGGCGACGTGTGAGTCATGAGTGACCTCCATGGGCACAATTCTGGCGTTGTGTGTGCACAAAAGCCTGATGGGAGGGGAGGGGAGGAAGACGGCGCGGACAGCACCTGCAGGGAACGTTCCCGTAGAACTCATACAGCAGGCTTGTGTGCCAAGGGGGATGGCATCACCGAGGGGGACAGTTTGCTGATGCAGGCAAGAGCAGGAAAAATTGTTGGAAAGATATCCTTGGTGAGGCAAGAGGAGATGGGGTCCAGTGAGGACAGCTTTGGAGAGACGTGTGGACCGCAGATCCAGAGACAGCAGGGAGGGTGGGGTAGGTGTCCCCTGACTTACATTTTCTACTGTACGGTGGGTTCCCTGAGAGCAGAGAGCCTGCCAGCCAGGCTTCTATATCTGTATAACCCTCTAGCGGCGCTCAGCACACACTTAATATGTATGTTGGAGGGAATGTGAGCTAGGGGTCTTTGAATTTGGATCAACAGTGTCAATCATTTGGAGTTGGCTTGAGGAATGAAGCAGGGTTCACTGGTAAGGCTGGTGGGACTCATAAGTAGGAGTTCCTCGGTGCCCAGGCAAGGAATGGAGCCAGTCTTTGGAAGGATGTTGGGACTGTCTGTCTGTCTCCTATCTCTTATTCTGTCCTGAATATCAACTTCATTTTTGCATCTCACTGCAGGCCGGTCCATGTGGAGAACAGGGCTGCACCCCTTTGAAATTATAGCTCCAGGCCCAAGGGTAGATTGTCTCTAGGTCCTGATTCCTGAAATCTAGGTCAAATAACTGGACTTGATTAGCTGATTGGGTGTCCATTACTGGACCCATCAGCCAGGTGGGGATGGAGGTAGGGACTCGTGACTCTAACAGCTGGAAGCTCTCCTTGTGGGCAGGGCTGGAAGTCCCCAGAGAGAAGGGGCTGGGGAGACACCTCAGTCAGTCCCACAGCAGTGAATGATTGGGTAGGGAATTGTAGATGGAGGGATGATAGATGGATGGATGGATAGATGGATGGATGCATGGGTGGATGGATGGATGAATGGATGGATGGATGGATGGATGGATGGATGGATAGATGGGTGGTTGGGTGGATGGATGGATGGATGG